GCAACAGCAACAGCAACAGCAGCGACGGCAACGACGACGGCGACGGCGACGGCGACTACGACGACGAGTGTACTGGCAGCAGCAGAGAGAGGCGATGCGACGCTAGCAGCGGCCAAAACCTATAAGCCGTCTCCTTTTGGCCAAAGCCAAATAAATTTCAAACGAATGAACGAACGATGAGCGAGCGCCAACGACGACGACGACGACTACGTCGTCGTTGCGCAAAAAGAGTCGAAAAACAAATGGCAAAACAAAAACAAAAGCAAAAAAACACACATATACACATGCACATGCATACATACACATAGCAAAACTGAGCACAGTAGAGTAGCGCAGCCGAGGCATGACATAGCCAGATTGTGACAAGTGTGTGTATGACAGAAAAGGCGTACTAACAAATCAGTCATCATCCTTTGCGCTCTGCCTTTGGGCCCCATTTTGTAGTGCGCTCAAAAGAGCGCGCCTGCGCTCTCGCCGGTCAATTCGCCGCAATTACAGCAACAAAGCAGCCAGCAAGCGCACACATAAATACACACACACACACACGCACGCACCACAATTCGCCGGAGTCGAATGTGTTTGTATAGCCATCGCACTCGCACTGCTGGTAAATTTATGAGTCTCCGCGTTGTACAACCTTTTTTAATGGCACAATTGTTGCGTCGCCGCCGTCTTTGCGACTGTGTGTGTGCGTATGTGTGAGTGTACGATCGGGCAGACAGTGGCGTGCAAGCGTGCATGAGCATGATTGACAGTGTGTATTTGCCTTCGAACCGCGTACGACGTGCTTGTGCTTGTGCTGTCTGTGTTGTGTGCGAAGCGAGAAGCGAAGCCGAAAACGCCGAAGCCGTCGCCAACGTCGCAGCCGTTGAGAAAAATTATTATTATTACTATTATTATTGCTATTACATAGCATTATTATTGTTATTGCCGCACAGCAACAGCAACCCACAACAACTAAATCAAGAATAATAATAATCATAACTGAACATATTTTGGACGCCGCCAAAAAAATTTTTTCGTCGCGATCTCCAAGGTTAGCCAAAAATATCAAGGAAAAACAAAGAAACAATAATAAAGTCTCAAATAAGCAAAAAGCGCGCGCGTCTCGTTGCGCGACGTTACGATCGGTCGTTACGTTACGTTACGCGGTACGCAGCAACGTTAACGGACTTTCGTCGTGTTGCCGCTACCTTCGCCGTCTCAGTCGCCGCCGTCGCGTTACCGTCGCTAAAACCACATTTTGCAACATTTTCCCATTGCACGCGTTTCGTTAGGAGGAGACTCCAAAAACAAAAACTGCACTAAATGCCACTATAAACTTTAAACTGTAAACTGTTAACAGTTAGTTAATGTTCTTCGATTGGCTGCTGGATTGACAAGCTTTTGGTTTTTCATAGTATATTATAGTATGTAGAAGCAGCTGTGATAAATAGTGCGCATATTATACGAAAGCAAGAAGTATACGACATACAAAACAAAACAAAAAGAATACAAAAACAACAAAATATAAAACGGAACAACAACAACAACAACAGCATCTTCAAGGCAAACAATCTGAGAGGAACATTTCGAAGTAAACGAAAAATAGAAGACCAAGCAAAAGAAGAAGAAGAAGCAGCTGCAAAAGGCCCGAGCAATGGATTTATGACAACAACAATAACCCACGAGCAGAGCTAAAAGGCAACAGCAACTGCAAACTATGTTGCCTGGCCCACACAAGCAGCGACTACAACAACAGCAACTAGAAAGAAGAAGAAGAACTACTACAGCAACGGCAAACCCAATATGAAAACAAATTGTATACGATTTTTATAAACCGCAAAACAAAAACAAAAATTATATATAACTACAACAAATTATATGTAAATATATATATACATAACTATATGTATACAAAACAAAAAAGATCTCCCGCTAATAATAAAAACGCGCGCGTAACTACAACAACAGCAACAACAACAAAGTATACCAGAAACAACAACAACAAATTAAAACATAAATCTAAGCAAAGAATGTAAAAAATCTAAAGCAAAGATTTTAACAAATGTGCCTGTGTTAAAAAAAAAAAAATAAATAAAAAATAAAAATTAAAAGAAGCAGAAGCGAGTAGTAGAAGCATAAAGTGCAAAGCAGCTAAGAACCACGTTGAAAAAAGAAAAGAAAAGATAGAAAAGAGGAAGCAGAAGGAGTTAGAGGAGCGAAAGCAATTCAAATTATTAAAAATACACAAATTCTAATAATATTTTTGTGAGTGTCAAGCATTAAAAATAAAATAGAAACAGAAAAGGAAAAGGAAAAAGAAAACACCACCCGAGCATAGCAGGAGGCCCCAACACATACAGAGATCTACAGAGAGAGATAGATCTTCGCTCCATAGAGAGATCGGCACGACGACGACGACGAGGACGAGGACGCAAGGGACGCGGGCCCCTCGTTTTGTGTTGAGCCGCCAACTGTCGTCTGTACACCACTAAAAGTGGCACAAATCGGGTTAGACGTCGCTCCCAGAGCATTAATGGCTCAGCCTAGGGTAAGTACTATTACTACAATTAACCGTAAATCCAAATTCAGAGTCTCAGCGTCAGAATATTAGTGAGAAAAATTGGTGTCTTTGATTTGGCGACGGCATTTTTTAGGCGACGGCTTTTTAGCTAGGAAAACATTTTCACTCTCTGCAAAGATTTTCCACTCGAAAGTATCGTAATTTGTACAAAAAGAAGTAAAACTGGAATTTCGTGTTCTATAATTTCGGAAAAAATAATGTCAATTATTTGATAATTCAGTAAGAGCTATAATTGTTTGTGAATATTCCCGAGTTCTCGAGACAAGTGAAGATTTGCCCAATTATAGTGTTGCAAAATTGTGTAAATTTTCGTATAATATGTTTTGATTTTGTTGTTCCATGCCGTCGGGTTTTGGAATCGGCTTTGGCTGTAGCTCTGTGCATATATTTTTATTAAGCATTTGATTGTGGCGTGACAAGATTTTTATAGATATATCAAGCTATAAAAAAATTATAATTGCGAGAATTTTATCAACGACATAATCTGAGTACACGTTAGTATTTAGGTATATGCATACATGTTTTCAGAGAGTTATTATCAAATCAAGTCTGCAAATTGTTTCATTTGTTTTTATTTGTTTGTAGAATTATAGAGTTTTGGAAACTCGCAACAAAATGAAGAAAATAATTCTTAGATAAAAATGTGTGGTAGATGATTAAATGATACAATAGAATAAAATGTGATAAAAATAAAATATGTATTGAATGTGTAATGGAAATAGACAAAATATGTAATACAATATATGATAAAAGTAGAAATAATATA